AAATTTCGATTTTTTAATATTTTTTGATCCACCTACCCACCCCAATTTTGTTTAAAAAAATTGAATTTTCATCCAGTAGGTGTACATTATACATGCATTTGATATAAATTCATATACATGTAAAAATCTATAATGCAACACAGTATGACAAGATGATGGCTGGCATTGCAATAAATGATCGTGATCGATCACGCACGCAACAGCATGCCATGTCCAATCCACTAAAAAATGGATCTCCCAAGGTACGGCTACGCCTACAGTCAATTACCGCGTCTCCATGCACATGCATACATGTACATGTATGCATTTCTATTGAAACAGAGACGTAGATCTAGCTCTAGCCAACAGATTGGGATGCAGTTTGCTGCTGTCTGGTTAGTCTTAGATACAAGGTGATGAACATATCACCATTATTAGTAACTGGTTATATAGTAGGTTAATATAACACGCCTGGTACCCTGCTACATTTGTCTTTTATCACCGCTGCAAGCGCCCACCTTCCAAGTCTTAGAGTAAAAAACCACCTCATTCCATGATGTTTCACACATTCATAATAATGCACAGGAAGGGTTAATCTGTCTGTATATGGAAACAAAGTTAATAAAGATTGCATTTTGGGAATGCTGGCGTGGCGTGCATGCTACGTGTATTTCAGGCAAGTCAGAAAAATAAGTTTTTCTGGATTTTAATATGAAAAGTAAATTTCGATTTTCAATTTATTTCCTTGACCCATCCACCCACTATTTAAAAAAAAAAGTCAAAATTTAAAAAACACTGACAATTTTGAGTGGCCCCTTAGAAAGACCAGTGTCCATTGCTGGAAAATCACCTGGCAAACCATTCACCCTTGCTCAATTTGTAATTCACTCATTTGTTTTTTACTGCCTGGTCTTGTCACAGGAGGAGTACTATCACATCTTGGCTGAGAAGATCTACAAGATCCAGAAGGAGCTGTGGGAGAAGCGACAGAATAGGAAGCAGGAGGTACTGATACTGCCGCTGGAGGCATCCCCATTAATGCAGCAGCGCTGCTGCCCCAGCCTCAGCCTCCCCCTAACTGCCCAGACCAGTATGTCCACTGGGAAAATGTAGCTCTTTCAACCAACGTGTATCAGAATTATGCTGTACATAACGAAATGTATATGGTCTTTAAGGGTTATTTTGATGTCAGTGTTGCTTTGGCTCAGCAATGAAAAGTGGACTAGTAGAATGGGGCGTCAGGTTGGCATAGTGACACTTTTGTCACCTTCCACTTCTGTGAATCCAGCCCAGGTTATCATATGGATTTTTCAGTCTTTACTTAACTTTGTGGGGTTTTCTCTATAATGTTCACGTGGAGTTTTCTCTTCCACTTCTAAAACGGAACACGGTCCTCATATATTTGCAGTTGTAATTTGAAGTTGTAGATCATCACATTTCTGAAGTGGTTACTGGCAGCCCTTTGAAAAACATGCTGGAGATTATATTGATACCATCAATAAATAAAGCGGGAGTTTTTATAATTTTATTGTTGTTGAAATTACACAGGGGAAATGGTATTGTTTATGGTAGCAGGGCCAGGTTTCCTTCAGTTTATTTCTAAATGTGGTCATAATACAGACTGATCGTTTGTGGTTCACTCAAGGAAGTCTGTATACAGGTTAACATAAATTTGGTGTGTGATTTCTACTTACAGTTTTATTTCAATTCCAAACATCTGTAACTTTTTAAGTTATCACTGAATAGTCAAGACCTTTTCTTTATTTGTAGTTTTCTGAAGGCTTTTATTTTACTTCATATTTGAACAGTGATGTCATCCATAGACCATCGTGCAATTTTAATGACTGCAGATGAATTGACTCAGAGTGTGTACAAAATGCAGATGTAAAACAAAAATTGTACGATGTAAACAACAAATAAAAGTGTAATGCAAATGTGAATTTTATGTTTTGAAACACATTCCATATCTCAGTATGTGGAATGAAGATGTCAATTGTACTCATAGTCAGTAAATGTAACTAACTCAAGCCTAAAATTGTATTTGTAATAGGAGCTTCACTCATTAGGTGCTTCTGGAAAATGCCAGAAATATTTTTTTCCGCACACAACTGTTCTTTCTTATTATCTTGATCAGGACTTGAACAAAGCTTTTGCCACAAATAAATTACGTTGCTAATTTGATAGACTAACTAACAGATATTTACATGTATGTACATAGGGTCTGCTGCTTGACAAAGAGAAAACAAATGAAATGGGAAGGGGGAGGTTCAACAGCAACTCTTAAACTTGAAGGTCCCTTTTTCATGAATGTCTGTATTTAAACAAGATATGCTCTTATTTTTATTTTTCTAAATCCACTTTGGATGTAACCATGATCTGGCCATCTATATACACAGGTAGGCCTACAAGTTAATGGTTTCAAACTTCAAGCATACCTTGACTCGATCAACTCAACTGACATTTAAACATGTCAGTGCTCTTTTTGTTTTGTTTTTCAAGCACACACAAAGTCTGAGTCTGTGGAGTTACACTGTGTGTTGAATTTGAACTTGGCAGCCATGCATATATGTCCCTGTTGTAGTATGTACCACTCCATGGGCATGTCCCACATTGTTGAAAAGTATGAGGTTGTGGTAAGAAATGTGTGACAAATACTCTTCAAATGACTGGTGTAAATCAGTATTTGTGGTATTTGGCTGTGTTGGTGGCCATATCTTACCCTTTTCAAGAGCTGAAATTTTTGGCCAAAAATTAGACCCACCTGCAAGTGGACAAGAGGAAAGGGGTGGAAGATTTGAGAAGTAAATTGCTATTCATGTTTATTCGTTTCCACTTGTTTGATTTTTTTTAAATAAACAGACTATTCACTATCCGATTTGCCATACTTGGTCTTGAAAGTCAGCGATTTGAGTCTTAAGATGGCAACACCTTGCGATAGAAGAATAAAATAGAAAGCTTAAGGCTTTAGTACTGAACAGGTCCAGTCTCCCTCAGGAAACTTCCAAGTGCCTTTAGTCTATGCATTTTGTATTCCAAAATGGTCCACCAATCAAAAATGGGCTTGTTTATGTGTCAGGCTTATGTAAAATAAATACAAGCCCTTTGCCTTTTAGACATTTTGGAGAAATATGGGTTAGAGAGTACAGATTTGATCTTGTATGACCTGTTCTATGCCACTTAAGGTCAATACACTTGAGGCAAACCAAGGGAATCTGTGTGCACAAAATAATTTTGAATTCTAGATGAGTACTCCATGTACTTTTTGTAATTCCTGTAATCAGTGTAAAAGTCGGAGGATTTTATTGAATGAAATAAAATGTGTGGCCTGAGACATTAATAAGTCCATGATTTGAACTGCACTTTATTTCTCCTTTTTTGCAACTTTTTCTTCCTCTTAAGTTACTTGTATATATAAGAAACCTGGAAGTTATGCCTTATGGATACTCTCATTGAAAAGTGCTCCAGAAATTTAAGAAGCTATTAAAGGAAAAATGATTTAATGAGGACACCCCCAACGAATATGAAGATTTTTAAAAGGTATAGCTCAATTTTTTTTCCCTGAATGAAAGAATAAGATAAAAAAATAAATCTGTGGTTTACATCGAATTATATTGTGGAAATATTTCATTTTCTGAAACGGGATGGGGGAGGGCACTGCATTCATCAGCATTAAACTAAAAAAAAAAAAATAATGGTAGAAGGGCGTTAACGCTGAGGTATTTTCAAGCAGTTTAATTTGATTTACTCACTTTTCCCCAATGTAAAAACTGTGATATAGACACAAAACGAGAGAGAGGGCTCTCTGATTGGAAAAATACTCAAAGAAACCCCGGTCAGAGGCAAAAGCAAGGATAACGCAAAACAGTTTCAAAACAGCGGTCCCAAATCCCATTTGCGATTTTCACCCACTTTTTTTCTTTCTTTCCCCAGGAGGAGATGGCGAACACCCCTTCCTCTTGTAACATGTGCACATGCACGAACTTGAGAGCGCGCCTCTTGTACTACCTGACCTCCAAGTCACTGCTCTGTGAACATGTACGTCGCGTGTAGTGACTTGGACCATAGACCTGGAGGAGAAAATGCTTGGCCCGGACGTTCTTGAAGCTCAAGTAGTCTAGTTGGCGCAACTGGCCTATTCCGATTGAGGGCGCTGTGCATAGTTATGTCCCGCCATGATTGTACGGCGTTCGAAGTTTTACTTTTCGCGTTTTGTAAAAACTTCATGATTTTTACCACAAAAAGGACGTCATTGGTGAAGTGTTGGACAGCCTATGGAACCATATTTCCATATAAACAACTCAAAAGATGGCAAATTGATGCAGGTAAGTTAAAAACCACTTTTTGTTTTCAGGACTTGCTAACGTTTTGACATACAATGTAGCATGGTGCACTCTGCCTAGTCGCTAGTCGGTGCTGAGGCCCACCGTGCATGCCTACTGTTTACTGCGCACCGTGTGGTGTCAGTCATTTGTAAAAGTGTAGGACTAACGTTACCTAGCCCAGTGGATGTCGTCTACAAATTACAATACAGTGGAAATGTACTTCCAGTAGGTATGACATGTATGATACCCAGAAATTAAAAATGTATAAAATTATATAAAGTTTGAAACCAGAGAAATTCAGTGGTACAAACTGTAAGGCCATACAATGTTTCTATGGGAAGTTAAACCCTTTGAAGTTTCAAAGTCATCAGAGCCTTCTGCTGGGCATTTTGCTGTGACAGGTAGACCTAAGTACACATGCATTGTTTAAAATGCGGTTCACAAATTGTACACTAAAAATACTTTATTTCTACTGGAAAGAATAGCTAGCCTACATGTATGACAATACAGGACATTTGATGTTGTAGGGACTGTTGTAATACTGCGCATCACAACTGCGCGCGTGTATTTCCCCATTCACAAATATTGGCGATCGCNAGGTTAGAAAGTACAGATTTGATCTTGTATGGCCTGTTCCACTTCACCACAGGTCAATACATTTGAGACAAATCTAGGGAATTTCTGTGTACAAATGATTCAAAATGATTTTGAATTCTAGATGAGTACTCCATGTACTTTTTGTAATTCCTCTAATCTGTATAATAGTCGGAGGATTTTAATTGACTGAAATAAAATATGTAGCCTGAGACATTAATAATATGTCCATGATTTGAACTGCACTTTATTACTCCTTTTTTGCAACTTTCTGTTCCTCTTAAGTTTCTTGTATATATGAAAGAAACCTGGAAGTTATGCCTCATGGATACTCTCATTGACTCGGAAAAGTGCTCCGGAAATTTAAGAAGCTATTAAAGGAAGAATGATTTAAAGAGGACACCCTAACGAATATGAAGATTTTTAAAAGGTGTAGCTCAAATATTGCTTTTTTCTTGCTTTTTTAAAAGGTGTAGCTCAAATCTTGCTTTTTCCTGAATGAAAGAATGAGATAAGAAAAAAAGTCTCTGATTTACAGCGAATTATATTGTGGAAATATTTCATTTTCCGAAACGGTTCTTGTTAGGCAAAGGTGTTGGCATTTCTCCTGGGATGGGGTAGGGCACTGCATTCATCAGCATTAAACTGAAAAAATAGGTAGACGGGTGTTAACGCTGAGGTATTTTCAAGTACTTTGATTTGATTTACTCACTTTTCCCTAATATAAAAACTGTGATATAGAAACAAAATGAAAGAGGGCCCTTTGAAAAATGTCCAAATAAAGAAACCCCGGTCAGCGGCAAAAGCAGGGATAACGCAAAACAGTTTCAAAACAGCGGTCCCAAAAAACCCATTTGCGATTTTCAACCACTTTTATTTTCTCTTTCCCCAGGAGGAGATGGGGGAGGGGCCCCTCCCTCTTGCAACGTGCACACGCACAAACTTGAGAGCGCGGTTCTTGACCTCCACAAGTCACTGCTCCGTGTACGTCGTGTGTCGTGACTTGGACCAATGCTCGGACGAGCTTGAAGCTCAAGTCGTCTTATCTTGCTAGCGCTACCGGCCTTTTCCAATTGAGGGCGCTGTACATGTGTTAGATGTGTCCGTCCTATCCGGCCCGCGATGATCATGCTGCGTTCGAAGTTTTGTGAAACTTCACGATTTTCAGCAAAGATTGTATAGCGCTGCGCTATACAATCTTTGATTTTCAGCACAAAAAGGACGTCATTGGTGAAGCGTGGGACATCATATGGTACCATTTTCCCACAAAAACAACTCAAAAGATGGTCAACTGATGCAGGTATGTTGAAAACCACTTTTTGTTTTCAGGACTTGCTAACGTTTTGGCACGGTGTATGGAGGCCTATGGTACTTTTCCTAGTCGGTGCAAAAGGCCCATCGTACGGAATTCCATATCTGTCGTCGTTCGTCGCCTTTTGCTTTTTGTTGTGCTCCAATGAGCCGTATCTATGAACGCTGGGGACGCTGTCGAAAACCGAATTTTTCACTTCCGGGTGTTATCATGTTGTCAAGGATAGGAAGGAAAGTTTTTGTGCAACCTCAACTACATACAGCTGGCTAGCCATGGCACTTGACATCTACCCTAAGGGGGAACAGGCCTTGTTCGCTAAAAGCTGGATGACTCCATTTGTAGTATTTTGTGCTTTGGTGAGTATCTCCAAATAGTTTGGTAAGATATAGGCCTAATGCAACAACTTCATGAGACACTTCAGAATATAGCCAAGGCCTACCCTGAGAAAAGTCCTGGATATTTTTGCAGTCCCTCTCTTCTTTGTAAGCTGCACCATGTGCACGGCTGGGCTAGGCTAGGCTTTTTGTAGAAACCATCCTAGGCTTAGGCCTAGTACATTTACCACTCCGCAACATAAATTAATAAATTTTTGAATTAATTTCATTAGCCTCCCTATTATAGGGCCTAAATCGCTGTACTGATGTTATCTCGAAGAGGATGTCATTAGAAATATTTTGATATAAATTTGGATTCCGTCGGACCCTGCAAAATAAAGAAAAATCTGTTTGAAGTAGGGATGTACGTTTTGAGATGTGTTTTGTATATGTGTAATGCAGATCAAAATGTGATAATTTTGTACACAAAAATGAGTGTGGACTTTAACTGAAAGCTTAACATAAGTGTTTTTGTAAAATCGTTGTTCTTATTTGTGCCTTATTTCAATGAATCAAATGCAGGCTGTACTTCAAAGTTCAAAACGATTGAAAATGGAACTGCACGCAAAAAGACTATTTAAGTAAACGAGTTTCCAAGTAAACAGCGCTCTCACTCATTTAGTCATTCCCCTACCTATAATAAACCTTTTGTTGTTTTGCAATGCATTATGGGTTTGGATGACAAACCAGCAATACATTTTATGCACAACCCTATGGGTGTAGTGTACATGTACCTGCAAAACAATCTGTTACCATTTTATTTCATACTCCAGTTCAAGTCATCCTCTTCTCACAGTGTTGCATTACAGATTTGGGATGAAGATACATGTATTCACAAACCTTGAAGTATACATGTAGCATGGCAGAAAAGACAAATTCAGGGAATCCCTTCAACAATACAGTCTGGTCATAGACCATGCCTTGACTGAGATT